CATTCTATTGATTAAAGTAAGTCACATATCCGTGGCTGGTGTGGCTCAGTGGAGTGCTGGCCTGCAAGCCAAAAGGTCACTGGTTCGATGCCTGATCAGGACACATGCCTGAGTTGCAGGCCAGGTCCCTGGTTGGGCATGTGCGAAAGGCAGCCAACTGATGTGTCTTTCGAGCATCGATATCTCTGTCTCTCTCCCTCCCTTGCCCTCTCTCTAAAACAAACAAATAAAATCTTTTAAAAAATAAAATAAGTCACATGACCAAGCCTAAGTCAACAGAGTAGGGGAATAGCACGTCAGCTATGCACAAGCGTGGTAAAGGCAGGGAGGAAATGAATAATTGTGAAAAATCAGGAATATCACAAACAATTGTTTAACATTTTTTCCCTTATGAAATAGTCTCCAATCTCCATTTCTATCCCATCTTTCTTATTTTCTCTTTTGCCACTTCTCTCTTACTTCTGCATTGTGCTTTTAGGGGATTATGTGATTACATTAGGCACATCAGTAATTCAGAATAATTCCCATATTTTAAGGTCAGATAGATAGTCACTCTATGTCCAGCTGCAAAAAGTCCTTTCCAGGCAGTATCTAGATTAGTGTTTGAATAACAAGGGATGGGTATCTTGGGGGGATATCTTTGGAATTCTGCCAACCACACAGGCTTCAATAATAGAGAAAAATTACTTGAGAACTCATCTAGACCTGGTCCATGTCACTGCCTTCTAGGGAATTGTTCTATTTAAATATCCATTCCTAGGGGAAAATTTCATTCATTTTCTTTTTGATAGAAAACCACCCACTTTTTTCTAGATCTTCAAATTTGTTGGCATTAATTTACATGTAATATTTCTTACGATTTTTTAACTCTCCTATATCTATGGTTCTTTTTTATAATCGTATACTGTTTTTTTCTTTGCTCTTCTTCCTTAAATCATGCTTGAGAAAAGTTTAGTCATTTTAGTGTGTTTTAAAAACAAACACACAATACAACATTTTGCTTTTATTTATGTTTTTATACTATATTTTTATTTCTACTTAAGTATTTTATCAGTATTAATTTCCTATTCATAATTTCTTCTGACTTATTTTATACTTTTTCTCTTTTCCCAAGGTGAGAACCTTAGGATCCTTTTCACTAAGGAAAAGAAGGAGAAGGAGAAGCAGGTAAGAGGAGGAGGGGGAAAACGTGAGAGAAAAATGGAAACAATACATTCTCTCTCGAACTAGCTTTATCTGTGTGCTATAAGATTTGGAATGAAATGATTTCCTTTTCACTATATTCTACTTTATAATTTGAGTTTTCTTCTTCATCCTTTCATTCTTAAATAGTAAATATATTTGGATTTTGCTTTGTTTTAATTCCAACTTTTATTGGATTATTTAAGAAGTCTCCACATTTATTTGTAAAAAAGAAGTCCCTACATTTGTTTGTAAAAAGTTTAAGTGTTTTTTTTGTACCTTAGCACATAACCAATTTTCTATGGATAAACTCCAAAATATATTATCTCTGTTTCAAAGAAAGAAAGTCTATATTGATATCAACTTTATTAATTTCATTAAATAATTATTCTGTATCTGTACTTTTGTTTTGTTTTACTTGTTTAACTCTGAAAGAGATGAATTGAGGTCTTTCATTATAATTTATTTTTATTATATTCTTCTGGGATTTCCAATAGTCTGCTTTAAATAATTAGACACTTTGTTTTGTACCTACAAAGTACACCAAAGATGTTATATCTTTTTCATAAATTGTACTTTTATTATCACATAAAACATAAGTAATTCTTTGTCTTAGTTATTGTTCTTAACCCTACATTTTAGCTTATCTGTTATTAATAATGCCATTCCTATTTCTTTTGGTTTCATTATTTTGGTATCTCCTTCCCCACTTCTCTATTTTCAAGCTTTCTTTATTGCTTGAACTGTATTTCTTATAAACAATATATTGTTAAGTGCATTTTTTAACTCAGTCTGAGAGTCTGTCTCTTAATGGGAAAATCCAACCAATTCAAATATTGTATAATGATGGATACTTGATTTAAATATTTTTATGATTTTGTTTGTTGTTTTTTATTTTCCTTGTCTTTTTTATTAATCCCATTTCCCTTTATTTTGGAATGCTTATTGTTTTTAATTCAATTAATAGCTAACTCTTCTATCAATTAAGATTATGCTTGAGAGTAATAACAAATCTAACTAAACAGTTGCCTTATAGAAAATGGCATAATATGCATATGCGTGTGGGAGGGGTAAGGGTGGGATGGAGTTGCACTTGAATATCCTTAAGTGCTTCTACTATTTTTCTCATGAAATTGTCCCTTGTCTTTGTCCTCTCTAGCACCTCTATGTGTTCTGTTTATTTTTATAGCTGGTTACTAAGTGCACTGGACTTGGCAGGGTGAGCAAATAGGAAAAAACTTTCATTTTGTCAAAAAATTTTCTTACTGTTGATCCTACAAAGCTACTATGTTTACTTATTCTCCCCCATCACTTGGTGAAATCTCTGGTAATTCTCACATTTTCCCCTTTTCCTTGTTACATTCTGCCTGGCTGGCCACTGTCAAGTGCTGGGCCCTGTAGATCGATTGCTATTTTTCTTAGTTGGCTCAGCGAAACTCAGGTCTATTTACTGCAGTATCTAGCGACTACAGTCTTAAGTTGTGAAAGACAAAGTCTTACCCATTATGAACCAGGGCTACAGAAGAAAGTAGACCCCAATCCCCTGGTAAGGCATCTAAAGGAAAGTTCATGGATCTCTGACTTTCTAGTTTTCTCCCAGATTTAGTGTTTCCTTCTTGGCCTCCCAGGGGACCAGAGAGACCAGGAACACTTATAAAGGGGAAAAGACAACCTCTGCCTGGGGTAATCCACAGACCCCAAATGGCCAGCTATTCCCGACTTATACAACCTCCATCATTGCCTTGTGACTAAGGGACTGGTCTCCAGGGCCATACTGGGATTTCAGTGTTAGAATGGAAACCATGTGTAGCCTTGCACCCCGCTGATTGAAGATCCCAGCAGCTGTTTGATTTAGGAGATGATAGGTTTAAGCTGAGAGTAAAAGAGAAAGGTGCTGAGTTTAGGTTGCCATCTTCCCAAAATCCACTGCTCCCAGCTACCCAGCTGTTTTAATGGAGAATAATCAGCCAAATGGAATTTTTAAGTTGACTGAGTGCCTTCCTAAAGGATAAAGCTCACAAGCTCAAGCAGAAACCTACAAAAGGAGCTAATACAAAAATCATCATTTTTATTTTGAATCTACTATAGGCTAAAGTCTAAATACTGTGGTTAGATTTAACATGTAATTTAGAAAAGATTGAATTAAGAGACTTTGAGGAACATCTTTTAAGATTTATACTTAGATTAAGAGCAGGGGAACAGGTGAGAATAGGAAAGAAATCTTTAATGACTTCTTACCATGCTTGAGATACTTCACATTATTTGTTTAGTCCTGAAAATAATAATGCTGTAGTAGGTAATGATGTCCTCATCTTAAGGAGGGGATACCGTAAAGTGAAGCTCAGATAGTTTACATTATTTGCCCAAGTCCAAGGCCCACAGTTGTCTATCTTATACTGAATATCAGGAAATAAAAAATCATCATTACTGTGCTATCATTAGGTACATTTTCTATTTCTTTTTATTATTATTGTCAATGATTAAAAAAGAGTGTGTTTTTATCTCAACCAGCAGGGTAGTTAGGGAAACTGTTTTGCTTTTTAGTGAGCCTGGGAGGAGGGAAAACTTAGGTGGGAAGGGGATAGATGACAGCAAGTAAAGAGAACAGGAGGGCCAGCCTCAGTTTGCTGGACAAAGAGGAGGATGACTTCCTGCCTTTGATCTGCGGCGGCAGCCTCTCCCCAGCCAGGAGCCAGAAGAAAGGTACACAGCCAGGAAAGCCTGTATCTCCTCCCCTACCTCTGACATACCTGAGCCCACCACCTTAGCTTGAAGCCTTTTTTCTCTTGCTTGTCATTTAGAGTTTCCAAGCACCCCCCACCCCCTCCCATCTCCATTTTCTGTCCTTGTCATTCTATTTGAGGGCCAACCGTTGCATCTTCTGAAGAGACAGCCAAGAGCAGCCCTGATGACACACCATGAGGAAACCTCCAGTCTGAAGTGGAAACAAGAACCTGAGCAAGTTTATCTCCTCACCCTTGAAAGTTTTCAAAAGACCTCCAAAGCCTTCCCCTAACTAAAATGTTTCTAATTAAACCCACACCTCCTCAAGTACTAACTTTTGAAATGCATCATGTTACTAAGTTGAATTCTACCTTTATACTGTTTGGGTTAATGGGAAGTTAATGAGAAACAGCGAGATAGGAATGTAATAATATACTTAAAATGTTCAACACTTCATATATTTTGCTACCAAAATTATTTAGTTTATGAAAGATGTTATTCCTTCAAACTATTTAACAATTCAGAAAAAAATGAAGTTATACTTGAAAAAAGGCATTTTTATAGTAACAAAGTGCTAACATTTACTAACAAAAAACTATTTGAAATTTTACAAAGCCTTTTTTAATTGCATGAAATGCTAATGTAAAATACCTTTTTTCAATGATTATCCAAAACACTGATATGATTAATTCCTCATGTATCAGGTTAATGGTACATTTTTATATTCAGTTATATATTCAGATAAAGTTATTGATGTTTTGGCTTCTAATAGCCAGATTCCAGAATCGGTTTATGACATTCTTGGTCCAAATCACTATTTACTGTAGGAATGCTGGTGATTGAGGAATCCAGTTGAAATAATAGAAATTCATGAACTACTTCCTCTTGTTAATAATTATTTCATTTGTCCTCTTATTTTGTAATAATGTTGGTTTTTCTTAGACTACTGTTGATTTGTAACTCCAATTTCTATGCTTTGCTTTCTTATACCATCCATCAGAACATTTCTATTTAGATAAGAATTTCTTCAGTGATCTTGAAACTTTTTGATTCTTGTTACTCCAGTATTTCTCTAACAGTATTTTACGAGACATTTAATTTCCACTCAAAAGGTTTAACAAATCATCCAGTGGTGTTACATTATGTAATTTATGGACTTTGAGTACATTTTTTAAAGGCTTTGAACAATATTTGACAGGTGAGGCACTAAATTTGCTCATTGGTGTTACTGTAGACAGCAGTCTTTCAAATTTGCCAGCTTTAGGACTCATTTCTTGAATTACAGTTTTACCAAGGAAACCAACAAAATTCTTTGTTAGGCTGGAAAAAGGTCCTGAGAAATTTTGGAGTTTATTCCAAGATGTGTTTTTGAATGTCTGCATAGTAGTTTTCTTCTTTAATTTATCTGCTACAACTCTATGGCTCACTTCAAAAGTTATGGCTTGTATACCTTTCCTCCATGCTGTTGGTGCAGTGCTTTTCGGTTTAGAAGAAGTAATAAATTTATCATTAATTAAAGATTTGAGAAGTTCATGATTTTTTTCTAAAACAAAATTTGCTTTTTTATGTGGGTAAATGCTTCTTTTTTCCATAGGATAGAGAGGAAATCTATTTTTTGTCAAAAGTAATGTTTGTACATATCCAGTCTCATGGAAAATTATGGGATTTGTATCATTTTGTTCCTGTAGATTAAAGAAAAGAGTACTTAGTCATCAGTCCGTTGAGGCAAGAAAAAACTACATATATTTTTAAACATAAAATAAAATATTCTGAAAATGACTACATAGGAATTTTAATATGAACAATAGTGGTATTCAAACACACACACACACACGACACACACACACAACCAAGTACTTGTATATGACACACTTCCTTCTCTTCTTAACATTCTACTGAGATGTTAGGGCTAAAATCTGAACTTTTGGCTTCCTAAAATCCTTTCTGAAATAAAGTGGGATATTGGTAGAATGAAACACTATTCTGGCATTTCTTAGCTTCCATGTCCAAAAATTAAAAAAATATATATCAAAAAATGGATTGAGTCAAAAGTCATAAGGGACCTAACTGATTACAAGCTCAAATTACAAAGTCTGGATATCCTAATAAATAACTTAGAAAATCTAAAATTACCTTTACAATGATTACATTTGTTATTATGTCCCAACACAGCACATAAAAAGTGATAAATGTACATATTTGTAGAATAAAGTAGCTAAAGTAGTAGATTGACTTAAAAATAGATTATTTTTATCTCAGTGGTAGAAAAATCTGCATGTATGAGCTACTCACTAAACTCTTTCACAAGTTTCCATTCTAGGGCAAAAAAATTAACTCTAAAGAAACTGTTAAATATGAAGATTACTACTATTTAGTTCGTAAACTTTGACTCAATGACTGCTACTTTACCTTTAGAAGTATAATTAAAATGATAAGAAACTAGGATCCATCTGATTGTATATTAGTATACTTATTTTGAAAGACAGGTTAATACCTATGATTTCTCCAAAAAGGACAAAAGATTTAGTTTTGCAATCCATTGATAATGCCAGTGTTATCCACTTAGCCACCGTAGTGGAGATTTGTCATATTTTTTGGCCTGTCCAATACCTTTGGGAATTTTTCACATTTCAAGTCCATGTGCCCTTAGAGAGAAGCAGAAACTAGCTTTATCAGCCTCCCTTGAGATTAGGGCACAGGCTTGTGTCCTGGGCTCTACCAATAAATTGTATCTAAGACAAGTCTTTAGTTCAGAAAAAGCAATCACTATGAAAAAATGAGCATTGTGAAAACTATTCTATTGAAGATGGTGGTAGATATATCTAGCATTGAAGGGCAGCAGTGGCAAAGATCTTAGAAATAGTGTCCCCTGTGCACAATCAGAGTTGTTAACTGTTATCTGTGATCTATAGCATGGGCCCCAGTAGAGCACTCTGAGGCTGTAATGTGGTGACTTCTGACTGGATACCTTTCAAGACAGACTGTCTTCCCAGCCTTCCTAGAGACCGTTTGAGCTACCAAATAGCCTTTAATAAATGTCTATTCTGGTTGATATAGCTAAAGTGGATTGATAGAAAAGTGATACATGATTCATTTTTTAAAATTTTCACCCATGAATATGTTTTCATTGCTTTTAGAGAGAGAGGAAGAGAGAGAAACATCGTTGTGAGAGAGAAACATCGACTAGTTACTTTCCAGATGTTGCCCAGACTGGGGATTAATCTTGCAACCTAGATATGTGCCCTGACTGGAAATCAAACCCAGAAACTTTCGGCTATGACAATGCAACAAACTGACCCATGGGGCAGTGCATGATTTATTTTTTTTAAATACCATTTTAGTTTTATATTTCTTTACAATCAAGAAAATTTGATAAAACATTCTTCATAAAGAAAACAAAATGTTCAGCTGGTGCAAAGGAATCCCCAGTTTGAGGGTGGTGGTTCTACAAAAAGAGCATTAAGACTTTACAAGTGTGAAGCCAAAAGAAGGAATTATCAAAGATTCTGGTAACTAGAATATATATTCCCAGAAGGAGCGAGAATACACATATTTACTGAACAGTAGTAGATATTCTTATTACCATGTGCGAAGTTACAGTCTTTGCAGGACTAATGTTGATTATCTTGGCATTTGGCTTTTTCAGTTCATCCTCAAAGCATAAGGGGATCAAGCTTTTCTTTCCTGCTGAACAATACTCATTTAATTGATCATTTCTGTCAGATTTATTTTCTTTTGCATGAAAATCATTCATCGTTTGAAGAGATTTTTTTCTGAAAATGAACCCAAGTTCAGCATAAATGTCTATAGGGCTGATTTCAGCTCATCAGCTTTTGTCTGTCTCACCCATTCCTCAAAGTCACTGCCAACATCTCCCCCCAACCCTCTGCTATAGACTTTCAACCTGACAAAACATGTGTTCCTGCCTGGTTTGGCAGGGGGGACAGCAAATCAGTGGTGAAAGCAAGACAGTATTCTGTGTGCCTCTTTGGTTTTTGAGTGGGAGAAAGGATATTACCTGTGTTGAGGAGGACACCAAAGATAGAGAGACATCTCTACATCCTTTTTGAGATTCTGGGAGAAAAGTGGTTAGACAAAGATGATATAGTTTTCATTCCAAATCTCCCTTGGTTCACATGTGACATAGTCACCAAGTTTAGGTTTGCCAAGGGGCTTGCATTGCAAGGATGGGGTAACCCATGGCAAAAACTTGCCATAAGTGTTGGATATAGTCTAGCAGGGGTGTCCAACCTTTTGGTATTTCTGGGAGAAGAAGAAGAGTTGTCTTGGCCCACACATTAAATATACACACACTAACAAAGACTGATGAGCAAAAAAACATTTTAGGTAAATTTATTATTTTTATGTTGGGTTTTATTCATAGCCATCCTGAGTGGGCTGCAGATTGGACACCCCCGGAAGGGCAGGCAGAGGAAGGACATGGCAGAGATTCAGAGAGTCCTACCATACTAATGACAGTTAAGAGTGAACCCATCTAAATTCAGACAGAATAGACCATACATACATGAACCACAGAGAGTAACAGTCACAGAACACCTAGGAATGAGTACAGCAGCACAAGGATATTGACAAAGACCCTTGGTCAAGTGTCTTTCCTCAAAGTCACAAAGTCCATCTCAGAAAGAAAAAGGACTAAGATAAACCTAAGAAGCCTACGTATTATTGTTCCAAACAAATTGTAAAGCACACTGGGTTAATACGATTTTTTTCATTACAGAGTTTGAGAATCTCATGAAAATGATTATGACCTTTTACAAAAATAAAAAGCTACATTTCTTACATCCATGCTGCAGTGTAATTAAATTTGTGCCTCTACTACAAAAAAACCCAGTATGCTATTCTCTCCATTCATTTTTCCATGTCTTTCTCTCCATTGGCTATAAACTTGCAGCAGATAGAACATGTGTTCAAGATTTGAATGTAATGCTGACTAGCTGAACAGTCTAGGATCAGTCATTGGATTACTAAATAGTAATAAGCCAGGATAAATTCATTCTGGTCTTCCAGAAAATAAAAGGCAGAACTCTTTTTATTAAAAAATCATTGAACAAAATAAAGTATTTAAATATTAAAAATAAATTACCTTTTATTTACATAATCTTCTAAGTGACCAACCAAATCAAAAGATTCCTTAGGGTTTTTTTCAGTTTGAGCTGAAATTATAAAGGATTTTTTATGAAAGGCACATATATACTATGGCATTTAGAAAATATCTTATATAAAATATTTTACAATATAAAATAACATATACAAAACACCTGGTATATTGTCCTGATCTGTAGTGGTTACTTAGTAAAGGCTTCTTACAGTGAACAAGATAGAATTGGAAAAGGCTATCTTGGATCTAATTATACTATCAAATATCTAATGTTTAGCTAAGACAAATAAACATAAAACAGGTCCTGAAGATTTTTGTGGCAGAAAGATATTCCCAAATTTACAAATATTTCCAATATGTAAAGTCTTATTAGCCAGTAGGAAGCCTTAGATGGTATGGAGGGAAGTTAGTTAGCAAATGTCAAATAGATCTGGCCAACTGACATAAAGAAAGTGTCCAAGGTTGAACTCTTCCAAGTATGATTGGTAGCCAATCCAGCATTTCTCTATCCTCTTAAAAGTGTCCCCAGACATACATGCTATTTGTAATAAATTCTATTTTTTTTCTTCTTCTCAAGTAGTTAGTATTTTAGTGTGGTGCTTCCCAACCTTTTCCACAACATGGCAAACACTTTAAGTAATATCATTTGCATAGCACATCAGGATAAACACATGAGTGCACCTGTATCCAGACTACCTTAGGGTCAACCCAGCAGTTTTGAAGGTTAAAAGATCAATATTTCAGCACACCTATAGCACACCTATAACCCTCTGAGCACAGCAGGTTGCCACAGTATATTCGTTAGGAAGCTCTGTTCTAGAGGGAGGAAATAGTAAATAAATAAGTAAATTGATCAAAACAAATATATAAAATAATTTCAAATACATGTAGGTATTATGAAAAAATGTATACATGGTACTTCACCAAGGGAGGCTACAGAAGACCTCCCTCAAGAATCTGAGGAAGAGATGGAGGCAGCCAGGTGAAGAGCTGAGGAAGAGCCTACTAGGCAGAGGAAAGAGCAAGTGTAAGGGTCTCTGTGAAACCACCTTGGAATCTGAAGGAACTGAAAAGCCAGTGTTGTTGGAGTATAGTGAATGAGGGGGATATTGGAGTAAGATAAGGTGAGACAAAGAGCAGGGGCCAAATCATACAGGACCACAAAAGCCATAGTGAAGAGTTGCGATATTAGTCTGGTTATAATGAAGATCATTTGAAGAGTTTAAATGGAATAATAAAATAGTTCGATTTATTCTTTAGAAAGACCACTCAGAGATGGATAGTCTGTGGCGGTAAGGAGGAATGGAGATGGCAAGAGTAGCAACGGAGTAACGACTGTTGCGGTGTTCCAGGTAAGGCATGTTGGTGGGTTAGACAAGGACTGTAGCAGAGGCAATGATGGGCTTCAGGTTATATTTTGGATATAGAACCAGCTGTACTGACTGATGGACTGAATATGGAGTATAAGTGAAAAAAGGAAATCAAGGATGACTTCTAGGTTTTTGGCCTCTGCAGCTGGTTAGATGCCATTCATACAAATGGGAAAGGCAAGTAGGAGAAAGGTCCACTGCTTGAAACAAAGAGCTGTGTTGCAGTAACCTGGCTTGTGAAAAGAAACTAAAAATCAATCTTTGTCACTGCCAACTGAGTATACAGGAACTAAGTCAAACCGAGATGGAAGTGTGCACCAACTTCTGGAATCTTCTTTCAAACTACTTCATATTGTAATATATAACAGATGTACTCTGAGTTTGGAGCAAAATGTTCTAGCTTTAATTTAATTTAATAAGTTTTTCTTCTTTTTCTATTTATGTTGCCATCTGTCCCAGAAGTCTTAGCTTGGGACTTGGATAAGAGAATTATAATGCCTTCTCCTCAGAGAGACTCAAGACATTTTATAAAAGGAATTTTGCTTTGATAAATGAGTATACCACCCTGTCACTGATATCAGGGAGCACTTTGGAAAAGATGAGACACATAAGTGGAATCTTAAAGAATAATGTGTTAAAAAAGAGGATTGCCTATTTAACATTTATTTTTCCCTTTCTTTTCTAAACAGAACTCTGTTCTTGTCTTCCTCTAAGCAACTATGTCCTTCAAGTGATTCTGGGCTCCTTCCTACCTCAAGGGGTGAATCTTGAATGATCTAAGCCTATGCCTTTCTAAATGTGAGCTACAACTCATCAATTTAGACACTAAATCAATTTAGCATCTCCTGACCAGCATTTTAAAAATGAAATAGAGTGCATCACATGGATCTTTAGTAATAAATGTACTGAAAACTAAAAGACTGCAATCAAGTTCACCTTACACAGAGAAAGACAAATAATTAGGGTTCCGTGAATCTGAATCTTCTGCTCCACTACATATTGGATTGTAATATAAAAAGTAGTTTTTATTGTCATCATGTTAAAATTTGGAAAAACTGCTCTAAGCCAACCATGATTTATTGGTTTAGGTACAGGTGCATGGAGATGTTCTAGCCAAGGAGACGCAAAGGGAAGTCTGCTGGAGGGCTTATGGGGAACATTTTCCTCATTTTTACAAAGGGACCAAAGAGCTTTTCTTTTTCAGTGGATATTGTTACCCATAAAAGTTATCTTAACTAGTAGTCACTGTATTGTATAGCAAGGCTGGGAAGATAAGCTCCTTGGTAAGACAGCTGAGGAAAGATAGAGGAAGTGGATATTTGATGGCATCATTAAGCCTCTGAAATAATCAGCCCTGGAATTGCTTTACTGAAGGACTTATTATTTGATATTATAAATATCTTATTGTTTAGGCCACATTTAATCTTTAACTGCTGTGTCCCAGTTATTAAAGATGAATGGGAATCTATCAGGTGGCAAAATATGTTCTGAGCATACAGAAAAGAATGTTTCAAATCACAGAGTAGGTGGAACAGAGTGGTCATTATGACTAGAATCAGTCTGGGTAAAGAGAAAATAAAAGGTTTTTGAGCGCTTATATTCCATACTAGGCAATCTGGATTTTATCATTTTTTCTAACTGAGAGTCTTCAGACGTTATTAAGTAGTGAAATAATATGGTAATATGACCAGATTCTGATAGCCCTGGTTAAAGGTTTTCTTAATGCTATGTCTAAAAGTTAGATGCAGTTAATTTTTAGTTATTTTAATATAAATACACAATGTGTATACCTGTAAATAAAATAGCATCTTTCTTCTTCTTATAAGTATTAGACTGAATGCTGGGTATAGAAGAGATTGTAGAACCCAATGTTCTTCTACATCCTTTCCTATGCTTTGAATATAAATCATGTAAAGGCTTAGCGTATTCTGCCTAAACATCAGAAAAGAAAAAGGAAAAACTGTTTCAGAAACCATTTCTTTCCATGTGTATATTGATAATTTATACTTGATGATTCACATTTAGAATGTCTAACTATTATAATTAATAGCTATCTAGTTCTTTGAGTACTTTAAAATATAATGTTTATTTTTTTTAAAAAATGATTTTATTTATTTATTTTTAGACAGAGGGGAAGGGAAGGAGAAAGAGTGGGAGAGAAACATCAATGTGTGGTTGCTTCTCACGTGCCCCCTACTGGAGACCTGGCCTGCAACCCAGGCATGTACCCTGACTGGGAATTGAACCAGCAACCCTTTGGTTCACAGGCTGGTGCTCAATCCACTGAGCCACACCAGCTAGGGCTGTTCATTTAATTCTAAAAAAATACCCTATGAGATGGGTGTTATTACCATTTTATGAATAAGGAAACAAATCTGCAGAAATTTTAAAATTTGCCTATATTCACACTTTTACTAATTTTTATTCTTTGTCTTTAATGCCTAGCCGTTATATCCATATAAAATTTATTTCCCCAAATTCAGGGAAAGTCTAAAGTTCAAATACTGAGAAACAAATAACCTTCTCAGCTTAAACAGAAACTTTACTCTCTCATACACAGAATTGGTGCAGGATAATAGCCCTGAATAAAGGGGAAGAAACTGGAAAAAATCATCCAGATTCTCCTAAGCTAGAGTCTCACATTGGTTCCATAAGTTTTCACTTAAATACACATATATAGATATCCAAAATATACATATGCATATGTAAATATAAACTGCGTAACTTGTGAATCTTCATCAATAAATCAAATATTTGTTTAACACCACAATTTTTTTCACATTAGGCACAGAATATATTTAGTTTTGGATAATGAGATAAAACTAAAGCATATGATAAAAATCTAGGCCACAAAGAGTGAACATTCTTATTGGATAGATAAGATTAGCATACATGAAACATTAGTAAATAATATAATAGAGAATATCACTAAGAACCAAGCTAATTAATAAATAAAGAAGAGATTATAAAAGAGGAATATTGGTGAGGGCTGAAATAGGCAGGAAAGATTTCATCAATGAAGAAGAACTTAATGCTAGAATTTGAATATGAGCATATTTCAGAAGAAGTCTAGAATATTCATAAGACAGTCAAGAAAATAGCATACTTATAACAGGAGACATCATTTATTAAGTGTAAAAGACAAGTTTGAATAGGTAAGGAGAGTTGTGAGAGAAATAGGCTACAGATGTCTCAAAAGTCCAACAAAGAAACTTTAATGTAAGAAAAATTACTAAGCTAACATTAATTAATAAAAAAACAACAATAACTTTTCAGTTCTTTTTATAAACTGGCATAATCTTGGCACCAAAGTCTGAAAAGATGATGTACCAGAAGGTGATGAGTTTTTACAAATTCAAAATAAATCACTATTCAACACTATACAAATAGAACAATTCATAATGACCAAATAAAATTATCAAGAAATTAAAGGTTACTAACTGATATGTTATTATAATTTATCACCCAATAAGTTAAAGGAGAAAAATAATGCAATTAACATAGCTGCAATATTTAAAATATATTTAATAAATTCAACAACCACCGTTGATAAGAATCTATGTCACTTCCCTTCAGACTGAAGGACCTTCTTAAGTATATTTTGTGATAGAGGTTTGCTGGCAACAAATTATCTCAGTTTTCTTTTACTGAAAATGTTGTAAGAATATTCTTAAGGAAATTTTTG